AGATTCACTAAACCCCTTCCACCAGAACAGAATTGGAAATGCCTTGGGTTTTTCCTTTTATTTGTATGCTATATTTCAGATTAAATGGAATTTTGAATTGAACAGGAATCAAAGCAAGTAAACCTGAAATGATGTTTTGCATTCCTAGAGAATTCTGCAAAATCTAAATTTATACATGTGGCTAGCTTATGTTTTTATATAAATAACATTTATTTATTGCTCTTTGTTTTGTTTTGGTGAGGTTAAGTCAAAGGATTAGAAGTCAGGAGCTCTGGGTTTTATTTCTTGTCTCTTAGAAAATTGCTGGAGGTCACCTTTCGTTAGTCACTTAACCTCTTTCTGTTTTACTACAAAATGGAATTTTAAGCTCAGCAGGTTTTTGAGGAGTAATTCATTAATGTTTTTTTTTTTTTTTAAAAAAAGTGCTTTGTGCTCCTTGTCTGGCAGGTGCTGGAGAAATAGAAATTACATTTCTATTCTTTAAATACTGAAATTATCTAGTACTAGGATTCTCATGTTGATTCTGCTCTCCTGTAATCTGTTAAAACATTAAAGACAAGAAAAAAAGGTATTTTAAAAAGCTCTTGTTTTTTAACAGCTCTGTGTTTAACTTCTGGTAATGGCTATCTCTTGTCAACAGAGTGCAAATCAATTTCAAGGCTTAAGCCAAACTCTCTCATTTACATATTGTTAACTGCTCTCTCTTTTCCTGTTAAACAGGAGGAAAAAGTCATTAGATATGAGGCAGCTGTCTTATTAACGTAGGGGTGGGGTAAAATGTGAGGAACACTTATTTTTCAGCATATACTTCTGAACAGCTTGTTCTTCTGAGCAAGGACAACCACAGAGTACGAAGGTTTGTCCATTACTTGAGAGGCTTCTGCTTTTTTTCATTTAAAAAGGTCTTATGTTTTCGTTGTCAAATATTACCAAAATGAAGAGCTGCTTTTTACTTTCATTGTAACCAAATCCCCATCAGGCCAGAGGGACCATATGAAATAGTGTAGTTGACAATTGCCATGCATGCACATAGAGAAAAAAAAAAAATCTCTTCCATGACATTCCTTAATGATTAAAACTCTGTTACAAACCATGAATGAATTATGGAAAAGAAAGCTGGAAGAAATCATACGGATTAGCTGAAGGACTTGGATAAAATGACATTTTTGAGACCTTTGTGTTCTAAAGGATTATTTACTGTCTGCTTACAGAACATCTTAAGTTGTTTTGCAGAGGGAGTCAGTTTCCTGTTTAGCGCAGTGTTTTTGTAAGCTAATGAGGGCAAAGCGTGAGCCATAGGCAATGATGCTGTGATATTAGCTGTGACAGAGAGCTTGATCATAATTATCTTAACGAGTATAGGGTTAATTACAGTGGAAACTTAAAGTTTTTTCTGTTTGAATGAGGCAGCGTTGAATACGTTGTGATGTTTTGTCGGTTTGATGTGACTTTGGAAATTGCAGTGGAAATCTCTGGGCAGCACTTGCTCTCCTCTGGGAGCAGAGTGTGAGCCCTGCCAGGAGGTAACTGAGATGGTACCTGTGGGTGAGATAATGGGCAGCTTTCATGTCATTAGAGCAGGGAAAAGCAACCTGCAATACAACTTAGTGATGTTTATTAGCCTTTTGAAACTGGGGAAAAAACTACTTGCCACTGCCCTTCAGTGCCGGTGGTATTGTGGTGTTAAGATTGTGTGTTTGTTTTGATATACCAATATGGGAAGACTTTTCTTCTTCTGTGAACTATGAGAAAACAGTGCAGATTTAATTTCAGACTGGTTCTTTTTCTTGGGGGATTTCCCTCCTTTTACACTTGTCTCTTAGGGTGTTTGTGTGTTCCTTGCTATGCTGTGATACATTCATGCCCCTCTCCTTTTTTGTAAGGGGCTCATAAAGAAATACTTGGACTACATTAATATAACTGTCTCACTCACTAAAAATAAAAATGCCAGTATTTCCTACTGATTTCTACCTCAGCTTCTCAAAAATTCTTTCTAAATACTAATTCACAATTGCAATCCTTTCTTATCCCTCATTAGGAGATGGGAAATTGAGGCACATAGAATTTATGTTACTTGCTGAAGTTTGTACCATAAAACCTATTGTGTGGATTCTACTTAAAACTTTTAAATTGTGATGTACAACTGCTGGACAATATTTTTGTATATATTATGATGGATGAGATTGTTGCCTTGAATTTAGTAGCTAGTATCACAGAGTGATAGCAAACACATTTTTTCCTTTTTTGTTTCTTCATCAATTTTCCTACCAATTTTGTTTTAGTGCTATTTTTTTTCTTCTGTTGAAGATGAAGAAATAAGAATTCTGTGAATAGCAGAATAACATATGGATGTAAATTTATGTTAATGACTACACCCTTTCTCTGTACTGTGGCAATTTCTCCCATCTCCCTGGACTCTGAATTTAGGTGATTAAATCACCAAGTGCACACTGCTCTGACGACGTGAAGACAACAATTAATAAGCAACCCCCTGCGTAACACGGTTCCTTTTTAACCGAGCAGCTAATAACATTACATGGCAAAAATTATCAAAACCAGACAGGTGTAAGGAGATTTGCGCACAATTTTCTCTGCCTATCTATGAAACTAGTACCCTGGTGTTCAGCCCAGGCTTGTGAAAGAAAGGCTGTTTCATAGGCAACTCCCTCTAGTGTTTCAAGGCCTATTGTCCCGCTTCATGGTTTGTCATTTTGTTTTATGCCTCCCCTGCAGCAGTATGGATCTGTGCTTTCTTCTCCTTGCCAGTTGCCAACCATTTGCTGATTCTCATGATAAGAGTATTTTATTTGCATAACATAACTCATGAACAATGTGTATTTTGATGCTGACACTGACCAGAGCCTGAGCAATGTTTTTTCACAAAGGACCTATTAACATCCCATAAGGCTCTGTGGCGTTGACAAGGAGGTGGCCTTCTCTGAACTCCTTTGGCAAGTCAAAGTCTTACATTGAAATGTGAGGTTTGGAAATAATCCACTATTTATATAATAAAGAGTATTTAAGGGGAATTTGCTAAACTAGATTTGTCAAATAAACTGAAATGAAAACTCATAACAGCTTGATAAACTCACTGCTACTTCCTCTGGGTTATTATGCCTTTTAAAGGTACTTGGGGGAAAGCACTGTCTGAAATGTTTGCTGATCTCTGTTCTGATCTTGACTTTGGCAAAACCAAGTCTGCTGCGACTCTTTGCTGAAATAGCTTGCTTAATACAGGATGCTAGCACAGCTCTTAACAGCATACAGTTTATGTAGGCTGAATCGAGTTTTTCTGAAACAGCTTGTTAAAGGCAAGTGCAAAAAGTGCAACTATTACTGTGGTGGTTGTTTCAGTATAATGATTAGAATAGAGGTTTTGTTCTTTCAGCTTCAGAGATTGTAGTCTCAATGCATCGTAATGATATAGGTAGTCCCTATGGATGTGGGCATGGAAAATTTTCTTCAGGTCTGGCTGCCCAGCATCAAAATGGCATTAGTAGTAATTGTACTTCCCTTTCAGAACACCAAGTCAAAACTGTCAGTGCTTTGGAGTTCTTGGACTGAAATACACTGTTTCAGTGTTGTGCAAATGTTACTTGAATATTCATATGTTAGTGTACAGTATCCAGTGTAAAGGTCACAGACTTGATTTCTTTTGGTTGCTTGAACCCTCTAACTGTGATTTATAAGTGGTCAGAAAGTTGTATCTACAAAAGCTGTATCTTGTTTTTGTTGGACAAACGAATGTTAAATTTTCTAATTTGAAACCCACGTACTTTCTAATAATATTTGTATTTTCCTCCAGTAGTAGTGTCTGTAGAACTCTCTGACAGGGACCTTGGCTGTATTTTGATCTTTGCCAAAAACTGGGGGGGAGGATGAGGAAATCGCCTTGTTATAAATGTCATTGGAAACTGAATAAATAGTATAGACTGCATCTCCCTTATTCATCACATTTTATAAAACAGCCAGTGATGATCTTCCCACTGGTAGGCATAGTAGATCAGCTGTCAAGTAATGCAGTCTCAGCATATCTTTAGGTGTCTGGTAGGTGAATGAGCTGTGAATGCGTGTCTCTGTGTATGCTCTGTACACCATGTGTCTTAGTTGATTAATGTGTGGTGATTTTTTTCTTGTTGGAATGTGCAAGCATTCCAAAATTCTTAAATCAAGTTTGGAATAGATACCTTAAGAAGGTACCAAAGTGTTCTGTTTTAGGTTTTTTCTCTGTACTTTGCTGTTGGAGGAACAAATACCTCCAGGATCTTGTCTATTTACAAGCCATAATCTGCACTTCCATGTTGTGAAATGCTCCTTTTTAAAGCTGCTCTCTGCAGTTTGACCTGTGGCTTGACAGTGGGACAGTAAGTTCTGAAAAGAAAGCAAATGCCTTTTCTGTCTGGAGTAATTCTGCTTTTCATTTTGTAGAGAACATTTTATTTTGTTTGCAGGGACTCAAGAAGCAAATTAAGTGGTTAATAAAACAAAACAAAAAAAAATCCCTTCTCCATTTCCTATTATTGCATGTAAGGTAACTGCTAAGAAATGATACTTGAAGTTGTATTTATTATTGTTAGCGGGGTATGATATTTCTTGGCAGAAATGATGGATGACAACTTAAATTTGTGTCCAGGGAATGAAGGTGAACTGTGACAGAGTTATTTATCTTGGGAATGGAGGTTAGGGTCAGGCGAGGCTGGGTGCCTGAAGGCACAAGACATTGACAAATTCATCCTGCAGGCCCCATATCTGAAGCCTTTTGTTTTGGATCCTGGCTACTCACTAAGTGACCCCCATCCTTCATCCTGCCAGCATGTGAAGGATGTGTTGCAGTGCCAGCACTCCCCTTGCCACTAATGCTTGTCATTCACTCTTCTGACAGGCCCAAACCAAAACTATTCCCACTCCTGAAAGGGAAGGTTAAAATATTTATTTCAGCTCATAATAGCCTCCCTGATTTAGTGGAGTATCATTTTTCCTGTTGCCTTTGTCGTTTGCAGGTCACTAGAAGGACTGAAAACATTCGGTTACTTGGAAGAGCTGATCTTGGACAACAATCTACTCGGAAATGACCTTCTGTTACCCAGATTACCCCACCTCCATACCTTAACGCTCAACAAGAACCAAATATCCTTTCAAAGAAATACCTGCAAAATGTCAAATGAGTTTTATGTGTCAGCCAAATTAAAGTATGTGAAATATAGTTCATGTGCAGACAAAGCATTCTCTCGTTTGGCACCTGGAATACTTTACAGTAATTTATTATAGGTCATTCATAAATGAAATGCACCATTATATCTTCCTGTTGCTCCATTTTAGTGAGATCTAAGTTATGGCTCTGAAGAAATCTTTCTAATAGATAAAATAGAGAAAGAAAATAATGTCAGTGATACCAGCGTGCAGCACTGTGTTTGCTTGGGGTTCTGTTGCAGGCTGACCTCTAGTGGAATAGAGAGTGCAGTGAAACGCTATTAAGTTTTTATACTTTAAAATAGCTTTTAAAACATGAAAGTAAAATAAAATAAGAATAATAATAATAAGAAGAAGGGCGGTACCTTTATGTTAATGAAGTTGGTAATATGCATAATTGGGTAGCTGCTGTGCAATTGCTGTTGTAAAAGCAAGTCACTATATTCTCGGTGTTCCAGATCTGTATAAATTCATTTAAAAATGCTGTCCAAATCAAGGTATTAATACATTCAAGTGTTTGGATGGATGGTTAAGTCCACTCATAACTACTCACTTCTCCATATGCCTGAAGTTGGTGCCTGCTCAAATTTATTCAGTATAAATATTTCAGCATTTGCCTAAGTACTTTGCTGATTCAGAGCCCCTAGTGTGTAGGCTCATAGATAATAGTCTGTAAAAACTAATTATTTGCAAGGGCTGGTTATGGACTTGCTTATTAAATATTTTTCCCATACTTTGACCGTTCTGAAGATTTGACGATACGTAATATATGGTTTTACGAAAGTGAAGGATGATCAAATTGTGGCCAAAAGGCCAACTGAGGCCTGCAGAGTCTTAGAGCACAAACCACGAAAGCCCTCTCCTTGTATTTGCAGTGTGAGGACAAGGCTGCTCAACCACAGGCTTTTATTACAGGCAATCTAAACAGAGCACAATTTACCTCCTACTAAAGCAAAATCCTCCTACTGAGGAGAATAAAACTAACTGCAGATTCTACGATTTCTGCACTTATATTTGAGTCTATAAATAAATAAAAATCAGCAGAGTAACTTTTATTCTTAAGACTCTGGAAATTTGCCAAGAGTGTCTCTTGAGCAGTAACGATCATTACTGTACTAGTTATTTGGCTGGATTTCTGGTTAATGCTAGGATTCTGTGGGTTGGATTTAAGTAACAGGTTTTATTATTTGCTGTCATGGCAAAATATGAACTGAACATGCTTTGATGAAGAATGTACAAGAACATTTTTGCTGATGCTATGGGTGGTGGTATGTCTGGTGCAGCATTATCTCCTACAAAGCATGAAACGTAAATTTGGCCATAAGACGCAAGAGTATGCAAGTGTGGTTTGGGGATTTTTTAAGGGGAGGAGCATTACACTTATCAAAAGGAGGGCAGGTGTATTGTATAAGAACATAGTGAACAAAATCAGACGGAAAAAAATTAGATAGTAGTCATTAAAGAGTTTCTGCTGGTCTCACAGAAAAAATACCATTGTCAAGTGAGTAAGTTCTCAAAGTCAATAATAACATGATAAGGAGGATTTGATCTATCCTGGGAATTTTTAAATTCAATCTTAAAATTATGAAATTAGAACTTTGAGAGTGTTGAGCTACTCAGGTTATAGAAATAATGTATACGTTTTGTAGTGTGCTGCCAATAATTTAATAGAGGAGTTGCAGAAATGTTTGTAAAACACCTAATATATACAATCTGCACAGAGAAGAAAAATAACTGCTGTCCATCATTAACATTTTGAGCCCTTCGGGAGTAGTGAGCTTCTTGTAGGGAAGATAAAGCAGTCTTCAGAAGCACGGAAACCTACCAGATTCCTCTCTTCAATGTGGATACCATATTTGAAAAAGGTCTCTCTTGAACTTGAATCGCTTCTTTTAATGAATGATTTCTCTATAGAATTCTTTGAGAAATGTTCAAATAAAAATGTACATTCTAATAGAACGATGAAATACTTTGCAGGAAAGATTGTTTAATATATGACAGTAGCACTACAGAAAGTACACAAATGAGCAAAGAATACTGATATGAAACAAAACTTCACTTGATGGAATATTAGCATGTATACATAAGTATATACATATGGAGAGAGAGATGAAAATAAACAAAAAGCCAAACTGACCCCTGTGAAACTGGGATAACATATAAACTTTCAAACTCGTGAGAGGTCTCCTGGGTATCTTTTAATATTACTGTGCTCTTTGCTATTTCTTTCCTTTTATTTTGGCTTCATTTTGATGCAGATCCTGTTTCGATAGTTCTAAAATGAGCTTTCTACTCCTTTTACATGGTTCATTTATTGTGTGGCACTGTATTTGTAAATAACATTTGACCTGTCCTTACATAATGTCTGGATACATTGTACAAATGCAGAAGCTTATCTCTAAATCAGGTAAATGCTTAGAAGGCTCATCTAGTATTTTTTTCTACAAATAGTTGTTGTATAGTTCAGTTACAGCCACTACCAATTTTTCTACTAGAATTAGAAGCAGCAAATGTAAATACTATTATTTTTTAAAAAGTTTCCTAGTGTTGTACTTTAACTTTTCTGTAATGTGCAATCTGTTAAAAATTTTTAAAAATGCAGTTTAGATAGCTGAACTACATATAGTTATCAAAATTGTGCAGTATTGAATTACAAGTCTTTAACATGCTTCTTTCATGTGTGTGGTATACTTGTTTTTACAAAAGTCTGATTTACTTCAGGAAATATATCTTAGTTTCTCTATCAGATAGTGGATGGTAGAAAGCAGTGCAGATTAAGATGGATGGGTGGTAGTCAGGAAGTTGGTTTTGGAGGAGGACTCATGACTGCAATTGCCTATGCTTGTAATGGGAAGCCTCATTTCTTCTTGTAAGTGTGTTCACTAGATACTAAGAATCAGTCACGAAGCTTCTAAATAGAATTATTCCTCTCTGTGTTACAGCAGTGTGAGATTTCGTGGCTTCTCACTGTGCTGAACATGGCTAGTGTTACAGTGGGATTATATAGTATAGACGTTTCAATTTCCTTTACATTTCAATCTTTTTAGTATTTGTTAAATCTATTCCAAATGACAGTAGTGATAGTTTGTCAAATATATATATACCTGTATGCTGAAAATTTAGATGGTGTTCACTGCCTCACTTTAAAATAGTAACATCTGATAACGAACTGGATCTGTGAATCTCTGAAGTAAAAACCCTATTTCTTTACGTAGTCCAGTGAGCGGGTCATCCATTTAACATGCATTCTATTTATTTCTGAAGAACTGATACCAAAATTGGTTTAGAATAAAGAAGTTGTATGTAGATGTAGAATGCAGACATTGAATCTAAGTCTAGGTTTTGAATGGTTTAGAGGAAAACCAAATTATTTCATGCCATAGAGTGGGTAATCTAAAGCTGGGCAGAATGCTCAAAATGGTATATGCATTACTTACAGCAAGAAGAGTTATCAGTGTGGTTCAGATCTAAGGAATATATGCTCTTGAGTCTTTGAAAACAGCATGGATTGAGTATCTCAACTGAAGAATGTACCAACGAGTGCTTCTGGTATAATCTGTCTTCACAGAAGTCTCATCATAATGCCTAACAGTTACAGATTTGTTTAAGCCCTAAACTAGATTGTAATTTATTTTGCCTTTGTGCTTGTTCCTACGTTGTCCTGAAGTGCTTCAAGACCTAGAAATCCCAGTCTGGTCAGAATTTCATTATGTTAAGTGCTAAGGACTTGATGTTTAGACTGAGTGATTATGTTAAAGATACAAATTGTCTTCTATTATGCACAGATCCCTATCTCCACTAAACAAAGATCTAAACTGAAATGGTACGGCAGTCTTCCTGCATGTATGTCTGAGCCCTCCATTCTACAATTTAGGGTTTGGCTAAATCTGTGTGGCTTGTTAGAGAACTGCAGTACCTGATGAGCCAAAAATCTTTCTTCTAAAACAAAGTGTACCTGATTTAAAAATTAAGTAATGTGAGTGCTTAATGCCAAACATCTATGGAAGAGGAGGTAGTCTTCAGTCCAGGCGATTTCTTATCCTGCTTTACAGCAGTGTTTGGTCTAGTTCAATTCCAGATACTAGAACTTTTAAAAAACTGGTGAGCTGCTGCTTGATTTTTGATTGACTTTGTGTTGCTTTGGGAACCTTGAGCGACATTTGGGAAGAATAGTGTCTTAAAAAAAAAAATCCAAATAAAAACAAACTTTGAAAGAAAGGACATATGTTATTTTGATGGACCTCTCTAGAGAATAAAAAAAGTAATTTGACTGCAGGAATAGGAACATATTTCCTTTTTCTCATATTAATATACCTAACAACATTGAAACCTGGTCTTCAAATATTCAGCCGTGGAAGCATGGCCTTTCTGAAATACCCTTCAAAGCACTGTCAACTCCAGCTACACAGAGAGAACTAATGCTGCTCCAGTAGGCAGAATGTTTTTTTTTTTCCCAATTATTCAGCATGCAGGAAGGTCTCCATGAGATGTATGGACTTAGTTAATTACCACCTGTGCCACACTTTTTCTTTCCAGAGCAAAATGGTTTTAAAGTCAGTGAACAAAACCTTATCTCAAGGCCATATCTCCCTACCAGATAGGGTTCAGGCCAGAACATGGCATACAAGTGACTGGGCAAGACATCCTATTGCACTTAGAGAGGGGAAAGATGTATACTTGCATATTGCAAGCTGTTTCTGTGGTTATCCAACCTTGAAGACCTAGCACATTCTAATGGAAAAGCATTCAGGTGGCAAAGATCTTTTCACACTGCATTCAGAGCAGAATTGGTAACTTCTCCTTCAAGGCTATTTGCCTGTGGAATAGCTGTGATTGCTACATCGTGTTTGTGGTAAATATAATCGAAGCAAATGTTTCCAGTGGGAATGAATATAGGTACCTTGATCATTTATGACTCTGGTAGAAGTGCTGGCCAG